CGGCGGGAGCGCCACTGCGCTCCCAAGTGGCGCACTGTAGCAGTGCGCCACCGGGCCAGCCGTTAACTATTTTTTAAAAGAAAATACCAGGGCTGACCCCGTGGCGCACTCAGGAGAGTGCGGCGCTGGGTGCAGCGGTGCTCCCGCCGCAGGTTCGGATCCTATATAGGCATGGCCTGTACCACCGGGAGCGCCACTGCGCTCCCAAGCGGCGCACTGTAGCAGTGCGCCACCGGGCCAGCCCTTAACTATTTTTTAAAAGAAAATACCAGGGCCGACCCCGTGGCGCACTCAGGAGAGTGCGGCGCTGGGTGCAGCGGCGCTCCCGCCGCAGGTTCGGATCCTATATAGGCATGGCCTGTACCGCGGGCGACACCAAGCCAAGGGTTGCGATCCCCTTACCGGTCACAAAAAGGACAAAAAAAAAAAAAAGAAAAAGAAAATACCAAATAAGAGATGATAAAATTTAAAAATTAGAGGATAAAACATTTCGCCATTTTAAGGGCCATTAAAGACTAATCTATTCAGAACAACCTCTTGCTAAAAACAACTAAAACTGTCAGATAAAGTATAAAAATATATCTCAATTACTGAAGAACTAACAAGATAGAATTATTAACCCAAATTTAAGAGAAAGCAAAATACAGTGAGGTAGGTAAAGCAATGAAGCTGCTTTTGTCTTGAGAGCATTTGCTGATCTATTCTGGCAAACCTTAATTTTGGTTTTTAAAATCTGGCTAATATTCTTGTATAGAGAGGGAATCTAAAAATCGAGAGATATAGACCAATTAATCAATAGAGGAAAAAAAAGAGGTGTGTATAAACAGTTAGAAAAAGAAATGCAAATGGCTTTTAAATATAAGGAAAAATGTTCAACTTCACTTCTAATTTTAAAAACTATGAATTACAACTATAAGAAGATATCCTTTATCAGACTGATAGAAAGAAATCCAAGTCTGACAAAATACTATGCTGGCAAGGCTCTGGGCAAACTAGAATTCTCCCACTTTTCTGATAAGAATGAAAAATGGTGCAACCCCATGTGAAGAGTAATAAACAGCAAGAACACATATTTACCATTTGACTCAGAATCCCATTTTTAAGACTATCCCAAAGATACTCTGGTAAAAATATTAAATGAGGTATGCCTATTCTTTGCAGCATTAATTGCAATAGCAAAATGCAAGAAAAAAAATGTCCATCAATAGGGGACTGGTCGAATAAACTTCAGCACAACCATACAATGGTATACCATGCAGCTGTAAAAAAGAATGTGAAATATCTCTACATACTGTAAAGGAGTTACCTCTAAGATATATTTTTAACCAACAAAAGCAAGGTACAGAGAGTATGTGCACTATGGTACTTCTGTGTAAGAAGGAAGGGTATGACTATGTATTTATTTGCCTATATTTTCAAAAGAAAAAGTAGAAGGATATACTAAAAACTGATAAAAATAAAATGGTTAAAATGAAATGGGAAAGAAGGAATAGGGAAAAAATAAGATCTAAATATACTGTATTTTAGAGTTTTGATTTTGAAACCATATAATTTTTACATAAAAAATGATTCTAGGTAATACCTTTTTTTCATTATTCTATTGGTTTTCTATTACAAAATCAAACTAATTTAAAAAAGGAAAAAACGACAGCACACCTGGGGTCCTAAGGTGAGGGCTAGCCCATAAATAGAACCATAAATAGAAGGGATTTAGATAATTTTGTTAAAAACTCTATTGTACAGAATCTGGTTTCTAGGGTTTTTCTAAAAGGATTTAAGCTCCATAGTTTTGTGATGTTACTAAAATTTAAGAGTACAATTTCTAAATCCATATCCTTGTTCTCCATGTCCAAATCATAATATGTTCTTCGCTTTGTAGTAGTACATCTTTTAACAAGGAAATGGTGCCAGTACAAGACTAAGAAAAGCATAAGAGTACAATTTCTAAATCCATATCCTTGTTCTCCATGTCCAAATCATAATATGTTCTTCACTTTGTAGTAGTACATCTTTTAACAAGGAAATGGTGCCAGTACAAGACTAAGAAAAGAGGTAGCTACAGGTATGTAATTAAACTGTTTTATGGTAATCCAGGTATGAAATAAAATAAAAAAGAACAAAGTATTACTTTCAACTTCTGTCCCAGCACTTCCCTCACTACCTATTTTATTATTAGCAGTATGCTGTATTATTGACTGCCCCAAACATTATCTGGAAACAAATCAAACTGGTAATATTTTACTTGCTTTACTAAA